TTCTCGGTTTAGATGGAAAATGCAAATTTTCAGTTTTTGACGAATAATGTGATTTTTTTTGTTTTCGCGGAAAAATGATTTTTTTTTGCGGGAAAACACAATTTCTCGGGAGATAATGCAATTTTTGGTTTTCACGAAAAATTGTAGTTTCTCTGTTTTGGTAGGAAAGCGTGATTCTTGGTTTGACGAGAAAATGAATTTTTTGGTTTTGGTGGGAATAGACAATTTCTCAATTTTTGCAGAAAAATATTTTTTTGGTTTTGATGGGAAAATACGATTTTTTTGGTTTTTGCACGAAGATGTAATTTTTTGGTTTAAGTTAAAAAAACGTGATTTCTTGGTTTTGGCGGGAAAACACAGGTTCTTGCGGGAAAGTAGTTTTTTTTTTGTTTTGTCGGGAATATACGATTTCTCAGTTTAATAGGAAAATGAAAGTTTTTATTTTGACGAGAATTGCGATTTCTCGGTTTTTGTAATAAGATGAAATTTCTCTGTGCTAAATTTCTGAGTTAAGGTATGTTTATAATAACCAAAATTTAATTATTGAACTTCTACTAAAACGATATTTTAATAGTTCAAACATAATTTTTTATTTAGTTCTAAGAAAATAACAATGGTTTTGATATAAATGTGATTATAGTTTGGTAATGTTAGAAATATATGTTTATAATAAATATTTGATAAATAAATAAATTTTATAACTCAAAATAATCATATTGATTAATAAATTATTTTTAAAATAACATTTTGTTTTATATAATTACAAAGGAGGAACAAGTGTCAATTTATTAAAAAAAATAGATTATATTTGTTATTAGCATGAATGTATTAAAAATGTATTATTTTATTCTTATATATATATATATTTATAATTAGTTAACTAAACAAATTCAATATCAAATTATAATTTGAAAAATAAAAATAAAATAAAAATATATAATATTTATTCAAATTTAAAACATATAAATGCATAATTTAAGTTAATAAATAAATAATATTTATATATATTATAAAAATAATTTTATTATATTATAAATATATACAAAATTTTTTAAAAATATCCTTCAGCCGCCGTATAAATCTGAATACTTAGTATATAAAATTTGAATTGACTTTCTCTTTTAGGAGAGCTAAGCTAGTGAGAACGTGGAATTTATTGACCCAGAGGAGACAGAGGACACCAATAACGAGGAATTTTATAACTGCCCACAATTGCTTAGTCTGACAGCTGCTAATTTCGAAAGTGCATTATTGCCTTCGGGTCTTTCTTTACTCATTATATAAAAAGCAAACGCAATTTAAAGTCAAGGCCTTACTGTACTGGTGACAGCTGTTGCGATCACAGACAATAGACAATGCAAATTTAGAATATATTCTAATATAATGTGGCATTATAGAAGTAGCCATAATTTTTTAAACTTTTTTACTGTTTATTAAAAAGTTAATTTATTTTTTTCTATTAAAAATTAGTGTTTTTACTATTTTTTTATAAACATTTTAAGTTTTTATTGTTAAAAATATAATTTTACTTGAAAAAGTAAAAAATATGATATGATCAAAAAATAATTATATTAATAATTTATGATTAAAATATATATATATATATTTATTCTAATTTTTGTGTTGTTTTTCAGAATGAGTTTTGAAATTCTATAGTGTAGCATTCAACAAATTGACATATATCATTTTTATTTAATTATATTTTTTAGTTTACAATTTATATAAAAACTGAAAATTTAAAAAATAGTTTATCACTAAAAAAATGTAACAAACAGTTATGATAATAAAACAAAAAAAATTATAAAGTTTTTTTTTCATTATTATTTCAAACTTAAAATTGTTTATAAATGGTGTTTCATCTTTAATTATTTTTACTTATATTCAGTGTTTAATAACACGATTAAAAAAAATTAAAAATTTAAATAATAATCAAAACATAAAATAATATAAAAATGTGTTATGGAAATTTTTTTTACTACATATATATAATCTTAAAAATAAATAACCAACAAAAAAATAAAATAAATTAATTTTTCATCTCCTTCCGATCAAAATACTCTATTCAAATTTAAATTTAATAGCAACTATATATATTACTATTCATTGAAAATAGAAATCATAATACAATAATTACTGAATATTAAATTTATGATCAATTATAATAAATACAAATAATCTGAAAATAAATTAAAAGTGAATAACAATAACTTTAAAAGTAAATTAAAAACTGAAAAATTAATATATCACATATATAATATCATCTTATCACATAAAAAATAACAAATATAATACTAAAAATAAAAAATCAACTAATACTCATAATAACACATAAAAGTCAACAAAATCAAATATGTTCAAGAATTTATCTATTTTACAGTATTTATCTATTTGATTAATTCTACTGTTACTCCTAACCACTATTCTAGCTACTAATTAATCAATTTGTCACAAGTTAATATTTTATTAATTCAATTTTTGAATAATTAATTAAACATTAAATTTCTGCAAGCTATTTTAATTTATAAATAATTAAGATTCTCTATCAAAATTGTTTGCGATGCCATTATTTTTTTTCAAGGAATAATGACAATTTTTGCATTGCCATTGTTTCTAAGATTTTTGAAAAAAACTTAACTATCATTGCTCAAATAAACCAAAAATTGCAGTTTCTACATAAATCTAACATGTAATATTTTTACTTTTAATGTGATCAATATAAGAAAAAAACCAAATAACAAACAAATTAATTGCATGCCTTTTTTTCTATCAATCAAAATACTTAATTCTGATTTAAATTTGGTGGAAAAAAAAACGTTTACTCCTTCAAAAATAGACTAGATAATATAATAGTTACTCAATATTTAATTGGTAGTTAAATATAATTAATCAATATATTAAAAATAATTAATTATAGGTCAATAATATTGACATTAAAAACAAATTAAAAACTCCGACAATTAAAGACATAAAAATGACACAATTAACCAAAAGACTATATTATCTTACCATATTATAAATAACAAATAGGAAATAAAATATTAACAAAAATACTATAACTACACTTAACCAAAATTATAAAAACACCTAAATACTATATATATAAAAGAAATTAAGCTACAATATTTTTAAATTCTTATAATTAATAATTAAATTCTTAATCTTTTTACGTATTATTATTAAATAAACATATTACAATATAACATCAAAATATAATAAATCCCTGCAACGTCCGGACCAATCCTAGTAATACTATAATTTGGAAAAATATAACTTAGACAAACACTATAATGACACGTGTAAGGCCTGTAGGCCAGGCCCGCTTCGTACTAGCGTGGTTTGAGACGTTAATTTATTTTCAAGTTTTTAAGTTTATAACTTTACATTGATGCAGAAAAGGTATTCCAAAAAAACTCACTGTCTAGTTTAGTTATATGACTTGTGGAAGTTTAATTTACATAAAATTGGCAGAAAGTTATATGTATTTCAAAAAATCTATCAAAATATATTACTAAAATAATAATAACAAAACTATTGATACTTTTAAAGTGAAAAGTTTTGTTTTATAAGTACTGCTTAAATTATAATAATATACCAAAAAATTAAACATATAATCTGGTATTGGAACATGTTATATAGTAAAATGTTTTTTTTTTGTTGGAAATCTATTATTGTTATATTGATGATTTTTAAATTATAAAAATACCATTTTTATGATACAACTTTAAAAATACTACTTTTTAACGTTTGTTTTCAAAATTACTATTTTTATAAAAATAGATGTTTTTTTAAAGTGAACAAAACTATTGATACTATTGAAAAATAATATTATAAAAGTGGTATTTTTAAAAAATCTCCAAAATTAATTTTAGAAATCTTTATACTATTCTTTTATACAAAAACCTAAAAATGTGCTTAATTGTTTTTTATATCACAACTCAAATAGTTATATATTTTTTTATGCAGTAGCATGTCAAAGAAACATGAGTAATTTTAATCTATAGCCCAAAAAATGAGTAAATAAAGAATATGAAGCAAATAAATGAAAATTAAATCAACACATATTATGTTTGCATATTATTCCGTATTTGCCCCTATAGAAGCAGATGATGGTGACTTGCTTTATTTGATGTAGTTTTAGAGAATAAATATTCGATTATCATGCTAACAAATATGACATCGTGATAACTATTAAATATCATGCTAACTAATATAATGCTCAATCATCATATTGTGTAAACATCAAGTTAACCAGTTATCATATAATTAAAAATGAAATTATCAAGTTAACAATGTTATCATATAAAAATTTATCGTATTAACCTTGTGAGCATGATAACTATTGTGCTAATGTTGTTATCATTACATATGAGTTAACTTTGTTAATTGTATAAATTAATGAAATTATGTTGATAACCATTTAATTAACCGTCATCAGTAATTATTGCTAACGCCATTGTTAGCATCGTCCATCATCTTTCTCCATCGTCTTTCACCACAACCATATCTCCTCCACTATTGTTGTCATCACAACCATTATTGTTGCCACGACCATCGCCGTCATCATCACCACCACTATTTTCTATCATCATCTTTGATCATCATCTTCAACCACCACCACGCCTACCATCTTCAAAATTTATATAAGAGAAAGAGACACACAAAAACAAATTTCGTGAAGAAATTGAAAACATGCAAGAGGGAGATCTTGCGTTAAAAGAGTGAAAGAAATAGTCATGGTGGAAAGAGATGAGAAGAGGAAAAAATTTGTTATGTTTTGTAAAGATAAGAAAAAAAAATTAAAGATTATAAGCATATATTAGAGTTGAATAATAATTGTCAGAAAGTTTGCTTTTATATCAGTTAATTTCTTTATTATCTGTGTCCAGACATTGCAATTACTCAAAAAAACATTGCACAATCACAATCAGAATTCTAATTAGTCAGAGGAAAGAAAGAAAAAAACAAAAAACAAAAACTAAAAGGATTGGTAAATTAAGCTGATGAAGTATCTAATCATAAATTCAAAAAAGTATTTGAAACAAAAGTCACATATTTCTCAAAATTAAAATTATACTAAATATTTAAAACAGTTATTAGGTACCCTGTTGGCTTTTCTCTTTTATTTTCCTCTTTGTCTTGGTCTCACTCATATTTGACTGCAACTGGCGCAACCGTCCCGTCCAAAACTTTCCAGGATCGCCTTTTTACCGGTAAGATACCAATAAAGTCTGATTAAGCTTTGATTTGTGATGTAAATCATTAGTAAAGGTACACGAGATGTGATGTATAGAAGAAAATTAATGATCTATGGTATTTGCGAACGAGCCTGGTTAGAGAAACAAAACGTCAACAAAAAGCTCATAGCTTCAGGAACAACTCATTTTTGTTGTTTGTGATAGATTTCATTTTTTTTTCCCGGTTGATTTCCCAGGATTATGAATCCGGGCGAGGGTTCCAGACGGGATACCGATGGATGCTCCCAAATCCATAAGATGATCAAAACTTTGAGCGATCTGTATAAAGTTCAACGTGAGGATGCACATCAAGAAACTGTTCAAGTCGTGCAGGAGGAAGAAATCACCGAGGTGGCGGCTTTGCAAAGAGCCAAAAGTGCACCTGCTGCTCGGATTCGCCCTGATCCCGTGAAGCGGATTTTCAAGATACAGGATGATCTTGGTCGGCTAAAGTCTAATCTAAAACATGTGAAGCGACTTCAGCTAGATGTTAAGTTTCGGCTGGACAGACAGCTTCGTAAGCTTTCGCGGGTGATTGAATCAGCAAACAGCCATGGAACCTTGCGTACGAGTGTAGTTGAGGATGGTTTAGAAGACATCACCAAGAATCTGTCGGGCTTGATGGGGGAGGTCTCGGTGTTGCCTGAGAGGCGGAGAGGGAAGAGAGATGACGAAGACTGGGATAATAATGGCAAAGGCGTTGTTTGGTTTCCCAGCATCCACGCAGAAGAGGATCTCAAAAGACTTGCGTTTTTCAGACAAGTAAAAGATAAGTTCGAGAAGCTTAGTACTGACCAACAGATCTGTCTGCTGAGCTTCGCTGTCTTCCCGGAGAATCAAGAGGTTAATGGAACGATGCTGATGTATTGGTGGATCGGTGAGGGCATTCTTCCGGTTACAGAGGCAGAAGCTGCTGCGAAACACATTCTTGATTACTTCACCGAGATAAACTTGATTGAACCTGTTATGGACATGCGAAAATTGAAGCCAAGCACCTATAAGATGAACCCTTTTGTGCATTCTTCAGTGGTTCTTATCTCGGAGGAGATTGGACTTTTTGATATTTATCAAAAAGGTCGGAAGCCAAGCATGAACAAATCAGACTTGAAGAAGGTCTGCCTTGTGGAAGACTCATCAAGCCAGGTAGAAGCAAAAGCTAAAGTGATGGAACCAGGAGACGTCGAAACTGTGTTCAATGTCTCTGAGAAGTTCCCCGATTTCATATTCAAGTGGTTCTCAAGTATGAAGGCGCTCAGGGTTCTTTATCTAGGTAGGTGGGAGAGAAGCGAGCGGGAGATTGAAGTGGATAGCCATGGGCTGATGAAAGATTTGAGCTCCATGAGGAAGCTAAGGTTCCTCAGTTTCCAAGGTATCACAACCATTAGAAGCATTAGCCCTTCTGCTTGCAAGCTTGTGAAGCTGATCATCTTAGACCTCAGGGGTTGCTATAACCTGGAGCAACTTCCAGCCGACATACACAACCTCAAAAGTCTAATCTACTTGGATTTGACCAGCTGCTACGCTCTAGAGAACATTCCAATGGGGCTGTCTTGGCTACCGAAGCTAGAGGTCCTCAAGGGCTTTGTGGTCGCTGATGAGAGAGAGTTCGCGTGCAAGCTGTCTCATTTGTGGCAATTGCCAAAGCTGAGGAAGCTCAGCGTTAGAGTGGACCAAAAGGATTTTGGTTTAGATAAGCTGCTAGATGCGATAACCGACTTCAGAGTGCTGCAAAAGCTGAAAGTGCGATGGGGAAGTGTGAATCACCAAAGAAAGAAGCAGCCAGAGATTGATGATGCAAAAGGAATTTTCCTACGCAGCAGGACCTTCACTTCTCGAATTTCTCGATTCAGAGCTACGCCTTCTCTTCCTCTAACTTTAAAGAAACTGGACCTGCAACGTTTCCCTGGTAGCGAACTTCCCAACTGGCTTCAGCCTGAGAACCTACATCATCTGGAAAAGCTCCACCTTGGAAGCTCGAGACACCTCAAAAGATTCAGTGACATAGTACCGGAGAGGCCATCCAAGTGTAGTGTTCAGGTCTTACGTCTCAAGTTCTTGCAGAAGCTAAAAGTGGATTGGATAGAGCTGAGGGAAATCTACTTCCCAAAACTGAACTTTTTGGAGATCAATGAGTGTCCCAGAGTCACTTTGTGTCCCTGTGATCGAGATGGAATCTGGAAATCTGACGGATATGTGTAACCAGCTCTTTTATGATCTGCATTTACTGTGTTCATCTTTGATGCAGCTTCTCTAATTCATTTTCTGTTTCGCTCTTTACTTCTTTCAGTTTTTTGTTTGTTTGTTTAACCATGTCACGGATAGAAACATCGTCTCCTTTGTTACTGTTGAATTCACATATGTGACAATGTATTTGATTTGCCTTAACAATTTTTTTTACATTTTGTTGAAATCTTCGAATCAATCTAACAAGGATAAGATAACAAATATTATTTAATTTTTTAAAATTAGTTTGTAGATTTATGTTAACATGTGAATAGCAACTTTTACCCTAAATGTGTTTTAATAAAATGGTGATACAAACTACAAAGTCGTTAAAAAAAATAACAAAAATGGTGATAGAAAGACAGCTAAGGAAGCAGCTTCCACTGATTATAAACTTGTTCCAACATCGTCGCTCTTCATTTGTATTTTTACTAGATAGATATTTAAAGACCATACTAGAAAACAAACTACAAACACAACCACCATAATAAATTAATTGGCCAACTAAGTCAAACAAACAAATTTACCAACTCACAAACACAAATGTTAGTAAGGAACTAGATAGAGTAAAAAACAAAACGAGATAGAGTATCTAGCCATATATATAAATCTTTAAAAAATTATTTTATATAAAAATTACATTTTGATTAAAAATATTGACCTTTTTTAATAGAATATACAAAAAAAAAGTTATTACTGTATTTGTTTTCGAATTGATGAATTTGTCTCTTATCATGTTTAAGCTACAAATTTTTTTAGTACATAAATAACTAATCTTATACTATTAGATCATCTCTTCACATTCTTTCGTAACATTGCTTTAGTAGTACTAATAAAGTTTTTTTAACTATAACGTAGTAAAAGTTCACCAATTCACAAACACGATTATGATTCTAAATTCAGAACTATGAAACAGGAGCACATGTCATAGTTAAACAATAAAAGAAAAACAAAAGGAAGAGGATCGTAATTCTGTGAGACCATAACGACTGAACTTGAAGTGTTCTTTCCAAGATCAGGAGATGGGAGAGGCAATACCGAAGGGAGTGAAGGATCTGTGGGACAAATGGAACATTCGTGGCCTGGTGATTCTCAGTCTTACACTTCAGACCATCTTGGTTCTTCTCTCACCAAACAGAAAACGAACTCACCGGCGACCTTTCCGGTTTCTCATCTGGTCGGCTTATCTTTTAGCCAACTGGGCAGCAGAATATGCTGTGGGACAGATCTCGGAGAGCCAAGGAGACGAACCACAGCCCAAGAACAACGATCTTTTGGCTTTCTGGGCAACTTTCCTTCTCTTGCATCTCGGTGGTCCTGATACCATCACGGCTCTTGCTCTTGAGGACAACGACCTCTGGCTCAGGAGCTTGTTCGGTCTTGTGTGCCAAGCAATCGTAACTTTCTACGTCTTCTTGCTCTCCATACCCAACAATCTCCTGGTACCAACATCGCTCATGCTCATGGCCGGAGTGATTAAGTATGTCGAGAGGATAAAAGCATTGCAGGGGGCTAATCTTGAAACCTTTAAAGACTCAGTGCTCGAGGAGCCTGATCCTGGACCGGATTACGCGAGGTTCGTGGAGGAATATTCAACTAGGAAGTTTCTGAGAGAGCCTACCCGGATAGTTAGGATCGAGGAGGTCGAGACAGGTCAAAGACCCAAGGTTTTGCCGGATGGGAAGCTGACCCATCTCGAGGTTGTCCATTACGCTTACAAGTACTTCAACATCTTCAAAGGTCTTGTCGTTGATCTCATCTTTAGCTCTCAGTCGGAGCAGTGGAACAACAGCAAGGCATTCTTCCTCCACTCAACACCAGTGGAAGCTTTGAGGATTCTAGAGGTGGAGCTCAGCTTCATCTATGGCACCTTTTACACCAAAGTAGACATTCTGCATACCCGGACTGGATTCGCATTCCGCTTCCTTGCATTTGCATCCCTTGTCTCATCCCTCTGCATCTTCACCACAGCGAAGAAACATGGTTACGACAGATTCGATGTCGGCCTAACTTACGCCTTGCTCGCAGGTGGAGTAGCGCTTGATTTTGTCGCTATTTTCATCTTCTGTGTCTCTGACTGGACATTTGCCAGATTTACGAAACCGAAAGAGGATGTTGACGATCCGGACACCAGGCTCGACGCAGTTCTCAACTGGCTCCTCAGTTTCAGGAAGCTGAAGTGGACGGTCTACAATTGTTCCCACAACGAAAACATTCGTCAGGAGCACTCTGTGCTTGACAGAAAATTTATATTTCGCAGATGGTCTGAATACATATATGGGTACAACCTGATTGGATCCTCCCTGGGAAAAAAACCTGAGAGAATCCACAAAAGCAAGGGCTACATTCATGGTTTCTTTGACGATATCATTCGCCGTTTGTATACTGTTGGTACCATCCAGAAGATCAGCTCTTGTTTCAGGACGATGAAACAAAGGATTGGTCAAGCTCGCAGGAAGTTAAACACTCTCATCATTTTACCTCCCTTTAAAAACCACCGAATGATGAACTGTGCTCTTTACCCTCTCAGGCTGTTTCATAACTTCTGGCTTCAAATCCAAATTGTCAACTATGTCTTGGAGTTCTTTGGCATCTCCGATCAGCTCAACAAGATGATATATGCGTCACGTGATCGCCTCACATTAGAGATGTGGGAGTTCGTATTTGGAGAGGTTAAGCTTAGATGCGAAATTGCTGACCGCACAGAAAGTGCCAACAGGATATATTGGGCAAGAGGTGAGTGGGCGTTGCGCAGAATAATGATCGAAAAGGCAAAAAACAGTGCAAAGAATATAAACCTGCTGCATTCCGTGACTCAAGTAGACTATGATCAGAGCATTCTCATGTGGCATATCGCCACTGAACTCTTATACCAAAAGGAAGAAGTCACTCGGAAGAATCAGAGTCACCGCGAGTTCAGCAAGATCCTTTCAGACTACTTGATGTACCTCTTAGTCGTGCAGCCAGATCTGATGTCAACAGTTGCAGGAATCGATAAGGTAAGATTCATGGAGGCAATAGAAGACGCCAAGAAATTTACGGATGGTAAGAAGTTGTGGCAGAGGAGGGATCTTGATAAGTCAAGAAACGCAAAGCTGGCCTGCAACGAGATTTTATCTCACTTCAGTGAGTCAAAGGAAGCACAAGGCAAGAAGTATCATCGCAGGAGTGTGCTAACTGAGGCAAGTATACTAGCGAAAACGCTTCACCAGCTAAATGTTGAAGGAGAAGAAGAAGTGATGTGGGAGGTAGTTAGCAAAGTTTTAGTGGAGATGCTTTGCTATGGAGCAACTCACTGTGACCCGAAACAACATGTAGCACTACTGAGCGGAGGAGGTGAATTCCTGAGCTTTGTATGGCTATTGATGGCTCATTTTGGTCTTGGTGACCAATTCCAGATCAACCAGGGAGATGTCAGAGCCAAACTGATCATAGGTAAATGAGACCTCTGTGTTCCTGCGTTGTCCCAAAATGTTAATGGGCAGTTGATTTTGTTGCTTAATAATCTGGCTCTACCACTCTTTATCTCTTTTGATTTCATGAACACATGATTCTTCCCAACTTAACGCTCCCACTATGGCAATCTCATACCTGACAATCTATGTACCTATCTTTTCCAAAATCTCATATTATAATACCCATTGAGACTTCTTTTATTCTCGAACTTGAGTTTGCGATTTTTTCATTCAAACTGTTACAAGGTAAAAGAGAGAGAGAGATGGAGAGAGATTAAATATACCTGTGTTTGTGTACAAAGAGAGCTTGAAATCGAACTCTGTTATCAGCTCCAAGCCTCCAACAACCTGCAACCGTCATAACCAACTCTCTCTTCTTTAGCCTTTACCGGTTCAGATTTTTTTTTTGTCTCAGGCCTTAACCATCACATACCTGACCGGTTTATCCTGGTAATTTGGATTCACGTGTTTTCTTCATTTTGATCGTCAAGCTTTCCAATCAATGATTTTCTTTGTCCATCCGTCATCGAAGGGGTGTTCAATAAAATATATCAGAAAACATGACATTTAATAAGACGTGAACCATAATTTCAAGGAAGAAGAAAACGACAGAAAAGACTAATAAATGAAACTACCTTTCGTATATTCATGGATATGAAATTTTGAAATCTGTAGTTTTCTTTCTACCCCCAATCAAAGGAAATCTAATAAATAAAGAAAGACCGTAGGACTTTTGGTAAAATGACAAAAAAAGAAAGTCAACGATTGAATTTTGGTAAAGCTCACTCTCTCTGAATCCAAACATCCATCAGAAGACGAAAATGGCAGTGAAGATTCCCTCACAAATCAAAGATGTATGGGACGCATGGAACATCAGGGGATTGGTAATTCTCAGTCTCTCAATTCAGACAATCCTCATTGTCTTTGCTCCTTTGAGGAAACGAACACCCAACAGGTTCCTGGCTTTGCTCCTGTGGTTGTCTTATCTCCTAGCAGATTGGTCTGCAAACTTTGCAATAGGTCTCATTGCCAAGAATCAAGGGAAAGAATCAAAGCCCGACGATCCTCCTCAAGACCAGAAGCTCATGGCTTTGTGGGCACCGTTCTTGCTCTTACATCTTGGTGGACCAGACACCATCACTGCATATTCTCTCCAGGACAATGCCCTTTGGCTCAGACACTTCCTCGGCCTTGCTTTACAGGCTGTTTCAGGTGCCTATGTGGTTATCCAATCTCTACCCAACTCTCTTTGGGTGATCATACTGCTTCTGTTCATTGCTGGGACCTGTAAGTATCTCGAGAGGACAATTGCATTGTACCTCGCAAGCTCAGACAAGTTCAGGGGCTCAATTCTCAAGGTGTCTGATTCGAGTTCCGATGAGACCCACCGCCTGGAGAAGGCAGAGGACTCAGTGCAAGAGTATGCTAGACTGCGGAGACCTTTAGAGCTAGAAGAGCACGATGGAGATTTGACGCACTTAGAGATTCTCCGGTTTGCTTTCAGATTCTTCAATAACTTCAAGAGCCTTATGGTCAATAACATCTTTAGCTCTGAGCAACGCGAAGAGAGCAGGGAATTCTTCAGTCAATTAGACCACGAAGTAGCTTTGAGAGTTTTAGAAGCCGAGCTCGGCTTTATCTATGAAGGTCTGTACACAAAAGTCTCGGTTCTTCATAGTTGGGTTGGAGCTGTGACCCGGACAATATCCTTGGGATCTCTTGTGTCGGCATTCTGTATCTTTCATTTTAGACCAAAGAATAGCCATGAGTTTCATGGAGCCGATATCGTGATCACCTACACTATGTTCTTAGTTGGAATATCTCTGGACTTCGCATCTATCCTCATGATCATTCCATCAGACTGGACACTGGCTGTCGTCAGGTTTTCACAGATAGACCCCACACTCGACTGGTTCCTTGGTTTAAAGAAACTGCGCTGGAAGAAGGAAAAATGCTGTGCAGGAGTCGAGCACGAGGTGCTTCACACACCGTTTCTACTCCAAAGATGGGCAGGAAGCCTCAAGCAGTTTAACTTCATTGCATACTCTGTGAAAGCAGACACAAAGAGAATCCATGGCGCCAAGGGTCGAAAACGCCGGCGTGCATGGAAGGCTATCCTTTTCCTCTTCGTTTGCATTATAAACTTCTTCAAGAAACTGTGTGAAATTATCGCCATTTGGCATCACAGATTTCACCAGTACGTCAGAGATGTCATCAATGATTGGCCGATGTGTATCATTGTCATTGTTGAGTTCTGGTTCACGATACCTCACTTTTTCAAGTTTATTTGGAGCTACATCACAAACCCCCTCGACATCAATGCTCTAGACGAGTTCATTCCGCAAAGATTCGTACACAGTGAGCCCTTAACAAAAGACGTGTGGGTTATGATATTCACTCAGCTGCAAAGCAAACTCCAGCGTCCGAACAGGCAGGAGGGAAGCACAACAAAGGCTGGAAGGAGAGGATGGGCTTCTGGTGACACCCACTTAGAAAAGGAAGAGCTAGAAGGGCTGACTCGTTACATAGCAGCTGTCGATTATGACCGGAGCCTTATGCTGTGGCACATAGCCACCGAGCTCTGTTACCAAGAAGAACCTTCCTCCAAAGAGAATCACAACGAGCGTGAGTTCAGCAAAATCATCTCGGACTACATGATGTATCTTCTGATGAAGCAGCCAAAGCTGATGTCAGAGGTTGCAGGCATAGGGAAGGTCAGATTTAGAGACACGTTGGCCGAAGCTAAGAAGTTCTTCAGGAGAAAGTATATTGAAAACTCGAGGGATGTGAAAACGGCAAGGGATGAGATCCTTTCGGTTGGTGTAGACTTTGATCCACGGGAATTCAAAGGAAACAGAAGCAAATCTGTGCTGTTCGAAGCAGCAGCGCTGGCCAAAGAACTGGAAGAGGTGAAGACAGACCGTGGTGAGAAACACGTGTGGAGGATGGTGAGCAAAGTGTGGATGGAGCTGCTATTCCACGCAGCATGCAACTCTGATGCTACGGCGCGTATGGAGCAGCTTAGCAAAGGAGGAGAGCTGATCAACTTTGTTTGGCTAGCAATGGCTCACCTCGGCCTCGGAGATCAGTTGAGTTCGTCAGCTAAAGAGACAATGAAGCTAAAATGGATTTAATGAAATTGATCGAGCTGCGTATATCAGTGCCCACCATTGCTTCTGTTTTGATTATTTTTCTGCACAGCTTGAGCTAGCCGATGTGTTTTCGTGAAGCAAGTGCCTGTAACAAATATGAAGAATGTATGTCACCACTGTTTTTGCAACTTTAGTCAATGAATTTGAAATAAAACATGAAGATGTACTGAAATGTGCAACTCAAATGCAAGGCTAAGTGTATATATATATTCAAACATCAATCCAATATCCAATGTATGACCAAAACTTCTAATCACGAACAAACTACTAAAGAATTGAAAGTAAATTACATGGAGATATACTACTCTTAACAAAAACCATTCATCTTTCTTTCCTGTTCCAATTCACGTTTTATCAGCAACCAGAGCTTCAAAACGAATGAAATCACAGACATCAAATCAAAAAAGAAACCAGTAGATGTTCAGCGTCATGAAATCATACTACTATCATCTCCCAAAAAGAAAAAAAAGGGTAGGAAGTGAATTATCGAGATACACAGTCGCGAACCAGTGACGACTGATTCGAACTTTCACAGCATCTAAAAAACTTGAACCAAATAAGCAACGAACTACAGATCGTCCGAGATAACCGTCATCTGAGGAATCTGAGATTTCTGTCATCACAGTGTTGAGTGAGTAATTTTCACCACCATCGATTTTCCCGCCTTTCTCCATCTCTTGGTCGTATATTCTCCGTTTCCCGATCGGCGACGGGACGGAGATGAGAGAGCCTTCGTCGCGACTAAAGAAACCAACTAATCGTTAGGCTGAAATAAAAAACGTACCAGAACTTGGCCCAAGCCCAGGGGCTTCTTATTTTTAAAAGAAAATGAAAAACAATGTTTATCTAATTTCATTCATGGAGGAATGAATATAGGTCCAAAGTCGAGAGCTTATATGCCAAATGGAAAACAAAAAAGAAAGAAGAGAAGTGTATACTTTATAATACTTTGGACTAACGGATCAGTTCAAAGTAGAAAATGGAAAATGGAGATCAAACAAAATAGAAAATGGAGATCAAAATTTTTTTTGTCCTAAAAACTTAATCAAAAAAAATTCTCTTATATATAACTTTAAATATAAAAAATGCTAAACTTTTAATAAAAAAAACAAGTTTTTTAAAAAAACAAGTTTTTAAAAAAAACAAAAGATAATAATATTCGACTATTTTTGAAAACTAGTTCTTTTTGCAGTTTTTTCCTACAAAGTCATTCATCAAAATTTGATAGTTAAATTTTGAAAACAAATATCTATGATCAGGGGCAGACACAGAAATTTATTTAGCATGGAGCATATATATGATATTTTAATTAATAAATAAATTATTAAGAATATTAAAGTATAAATAACAAAAAAATATAACCAAACAAAATTAAAAACTAAAAAACTCCTATAAAATTACCCTACGATTTTTTATATTCTAAAACTTTTTTATTAGTACTACTTAATTTGTCACATTATCAAATAGTTATTTTTCAATAAGACAAACTAGATAATCATATAAAAACTAATTGTTCATTTAATTACGTAAGATAGTGTTTACAATCATTTAGTGGTGGCTGATGTCTTATATTTTAGACGAGGGTCTAAATTAAGATACATTGTCTAAATTAAGATACATTGTCTAAATTAAAAAGCACACATGGCAAGCTATGAGTATACGATAGAAAATTACAATTTCTGAATTGTACTTCTATAATTTATATGTTTTCATGTATTACATTTTTGAAAATGTATAATGTTTTAAAATTTGCTAACCAAAGTTTTTACTTAAATTTATTAATATATATATATATATATATTGTTTTTGTTTTTAAGACACCTATTAAAAATGTTTTCATTGTATGCTATAAAAACAATAAAATACTACAAAGTGTCTTATATACATAAAATATACAAAATATTAATAATTAATCAATGAGATCTACACTAATTATATCTTTATTGGGCTTGCTCTAAAGCAGTAATTAAAATGGTTGCTAAGTCAAAAAGTAAAAAAGCAAAACAATGTCATTAATTTTTATTTATTTGTAATTTCAAATGGGCTTTCAATTTTGAACCTGCTTTTAACTGTATCTAAACAAATAGGTAAATAAAAACTTAGTTATGTTTAACAGTTTACCTAATGTATATAGAAAAAAATCAAAAATGAATATAGGACATGTGCCACCAAACTCTCAATGTGCGACCGCCCCTGTCTATGATGTGTAAAAGAAAATTCAATAGAGTGGAGAATTCACTGCAAATTATGAAATTTGCAATAAAGCTAGGAAAAAAAAGAAATTTTGAAGAGGCAGCCGTGTGAGGAAAACAAAAGCTATAGAAGAGAATATTTCATTAATTCAATTATTATACATTATAAAAATTAATGAAGAAATTTTTAAAGTGGAAACCTAAAGTAAATGTTTCAACGGACTGTGCTCAGGCTCTGGAGAGATGCCAGAGCCAAACTTATTATAGGCAAGTGATGTATTTGTTCCATAACTTTTGCAAATTCCTAGTGTCTGAATTCTTACTGCATTGTAGTTCTTCCACTCAAAACTATGAACTCCTTTCTGCATAGAGATGATGATATTGTAAGCTTTTGCGATGGAATCTTTTGCTGTCTATTGCACCGTTTGTTATCAGCCTTCTCTGATTATCAGCTCTACAAATCAGTTTGCCAGCCCTTGCAGCTACGCAGCTCGGCAGCTCTCCCAAGTAAATCAGCTCAACAGCTTTCCTAGCTAGCTCATCAGCTCCCGCAGCCAGCGAACTCAGCAATCTCAGATCTAGGGATCTCTTCATATCCGTCTAGCTGAACGTCTCAGTCACCCATGAAGAGCGGACATAAAAAAAAAACAAAAAAACAAAATAAGGAATGACTTACATTAAGCATATCAAGCGCATTCACGAGAAAGACCTGAGTAGATCATCAACACTACAACACCAAGATCTTTAACACGACATCTCCGTCAGCTCGTCATCAGTTCTTTACGAGCTCTTCTCCATCAGCTCGTCTTCTATACCACAACAAACGAATGTTATTACTCAATTACTTATACGCGTCAAAACCAATCTCACACTTCGTCGCATTAAGAGCCGATCTCAAAAAAGGAAGGGAAAAGGCGGAAGAATCTCTAGAAGCTCTTCACTGATGAATCTCCTCAGATTCACTTATCATTGACATACCCTTTTCTAGCATCTTAAAAGAATAAGCCTAGTCCTCATAAGTCAAAGCTATGATATGACACATCGACCTAGTCTCACAAAGACTGAACAAAAATTCTAATCAAAGAAGAAAGAGAACCTAGAAGAGACTACTTTGGCTGCTCACCAACAAGAGAGTAAACATTACTTAGGTTAAAATAAAGTCCCAGTGTAATAACCATCAGCCCAGGAGTCCAAACAGAGCAAGCTGGAACCCTAGCTATGGCAGAAAAGCCGTTTGGAGACTTTGCTTCCCGGGCAAGAAATCGCTGAAGAATCTGCAACCTGAAACCAAAACAAAAACCAGTGCGGGTTAAGGCTTTTCGAGGTGAGTTCGAGGACGAGCATACAGATTTAGATCGCCTAAAAGGTGTCTTTGGAAAGATCTCTTTCCATAGAATCTACAGGACTTTACAGCGCTTCAATCAGAGTTATACTTCTTCAGAAAATCGCTCCACAAGTTAGCCAAAAACCTGAGATTTTCGAAAAACCACTCTCAACGCAACATCTTCAGAAGAACGTGGGAGGCTCAAATCACTTCCGATCAAGCTTATATTCGGTCTCCTACACGGTGGCATATCGAATTCCATTATCAACGGTGGGATTGCAAAACTAACGGTGAAGTTTCTATATATTCACGTCTTCTTGAAGCTACATGATGCAAAATAAATCAATGACATCTGTCAAAAGTTCTGCTATTGGGAAACGAGCTCGTCAATCTCACAAATCGCTTTGTCAACTCGTCGCTGAGCTCATAGCGCATCCCTCTGTTAGCTCGTCATACACCGATCGTCACAACTTTTAGCTCAGCTGCACCAGTACACATTTTCTCAATCATCCTCAAATAAACCGACCTGCAAGAAAAACAAGCTCTTATGCTCTGATTTCAGTCCGACATCTCAAGAGTCGATTCATGGCACCCTTTAGTCTCTGTGTTTTCTCCATACCGTCTCTCTGATCCAAAGTTTTGTCAAGCTGCTGAACACAGTTTCTCTCATGAGATCAAGAAACAGCAACCGATGTAAAATAAAAAAAGTGATGAGCTTATTCTACGGGCTCCCACTCTTTCAAGCCAAGTTCTTCAACAGTTCACCATGAGTCAAACATGTTACAACGAAGATATCAAGCAAGATACGAGACCCAAAGCAAGAGAGAAAAATCAGGCTCTTAAACTCACGAGTTCCCTGTACTACGACGTGAAAATTAACATCAAAATTTTGACGGTTCTTACGCGGTTTTTACTTTCAACTCCAAACCCTCCGTTGAGTATTAAGTCCCGATCTTCGACGTTATTGTTACCGAGCTTCACCGAAGTTCGTCTACCTCACCGAGCTGTAATCTTCTCCATCGAGCTATATCACAGCTCCTTTTCAACACCGAGCTATATCACACAGCTCGTGATGCTTTAGTGAGCTCACCAGCTCGTCATAATTCACTAACCTCAGCTCGTCCAGTATTATTTTGAGCTCGTCATCTCACATCTAAGGTTCATCCTCAATGGCTCCACCAGTCTTCACCTCATCAATTCAACGTAGCCCACATACTCATGAGCTCATCTCCATCGGCTCGTCCAGAATCTTCGAGTCGTTTGATGACCATTTCCCCAAGCTACATTACTAGTTGAATTTCGAGGAGGACTATATTCGCACTTTAGCTCGTAAACAATCCCCTAAACTCCACCAACGAGCCCAAGAGATACACTTCATCCCATTAATTAGCCGTAGCTTTTACGAGCTCACACGATATTGACGTTGCTTCATCGGCCCCAGCACATCATTCTTTCAAGTCATACAT